ATACGTGTCTAGTCACTCTTACCGACGAAGCCCAGCCCTGGATCTAGAACGAACTTAAAGCGGACAATCAGGAAGAGGACTCACGTTGAGAGGCAGCGAGGGGGGTCGCTCCGCGAGGAACGAATTCGCGAGAAACGGATTCGCGAGTAACGGATTTGCGAGAAACGGCGAAGGATAACTCGAGGAGGTCATGGCGGTGACCCCCGTGCTGTTTTGCGGAGTACTCGTTACTAGCTGCGTCGCCATGATGCATGGCCAAGAGGGAGTGATTCGATGCTAAGGATAATGCGACGGGGAGAAACAGCAGCACGGAAACAACAGCAGCGAGAACCATTGCGACGATCTTCCTTCTCGAAGCTTTAGAACATGGAAAGCTTACAATGGGGGAGCTCTTATCGAGGTCAACAACGCTCTACCGTGGATAGCCTAGCAGCAAGCGCTATCTCAACCTAGATTCTGCCGAACGAGTGCAACAGACCGGAAAAGGTCCTTCAGAGCGCAGCTCTCAGCAATGCGACGGCAGACAATAAGGAATAACAGTTTACGCCAGTCATCGCTGACGATCACTATCGTCTCCCGTACGACGCGGAGCCTACATTCGACGGGAATACGCTGAACCTAAGAATACCAGATACCTAAGCTGGTACTGTACACAGACTTTCCCCTACTAATCTGCAGAAGGTTCTGATAAACATTTCACCTTCGGGTTTGAGGGAGCGAGCTCGGCTTGAGTTGAGAGGTTTTCCCAAATGGAGTCGCGAGAGTCAACGACAGGCACTAGTGTCAGACGTGCAGTTGGTGGCGCTGTACCCGATATAGACTGCGGCGCTTGACAATGTTTGTTACACTCGAACATGGCATGCGGAGGCTCCTCTTGGGGACAAAACCACAACAGCATGTCATGAAATAACCCCACAATCAAATCTACACATCGTAGGCGGGTTGTGCTGCCCGAACCACAACCCCTCGTCGAAGCTCCGTTCCATGGAGAATGCTTCCTACACGAATTGTGCCATTTGTTCAGCTTTCCATGGAATTTACCAGACCATGTTAATTCAGGCCAACATATTTGACATGGACAAATTATGGTGGCTGGCAGGTAGTCATAGTAAATCTAGCTAACAGCTTACTCCACTTCTGCCAAGTAATCATTCACTTCAGCTGGAGTTAGCACTCTGATCGCAGAGAGAACACATGCAGCAAACCAGAGGAAAAAGGGAGGGTGGGAGGAACAGGGTGAGTCTCGTAGCAGGGAGTCATCTTGGAGACACACAGATACTACAAAGCAGAGACAAAAGGCAGAACAAAATGCTGGTTTGCATCAATAAGGAGCAGCTCAATCATAACAGGTAGAAATCACAACAGCCCTCTACCTCACCTGAACTTCCTGTCGCTACCCCCAATGCCAATCTCAATGTTGTCGCCCGCCAATTTGCCCCTCAAACCTTGGTGAAAGAAAGTGGAAGAGGGAGGACAGGGGTGCGAGGTGAGAGAGTGACGGAACACAGAAGCAGTTGGGAAGAAGAGAGGCAGCAGAAGTGCAAAGCAAAGCGAGACATTTGATGCAGTGCACATGTCCGTACCCTTCCTTGAGAGTGAGAATGGCCGTGTGGATCGCATCCTCTAACTCCATGTCCTCCGTGTACCTGATACAAGCACACCCCATACACGCACACCCATACAAGCACAACCCATACAAGCACGCCCCATACAGCACGCCCCATACAACACGCCCCATACAAGCACGTCCCATGCAAGCACGTCCACATAAGCACAGCATACACATGCACCATACATACAGGCATGACCCACTCGGACAGGACATAAAGCGCCACAACAAGCATGCCATAGACCACAAGTAAATCACACAGGAACCCAGCATCTTATCCCAACACTTCAGCACCAGTGACTTGTACTGAAAAGGACAAGAGGAGGAAATCCGTCATCTCACCCCTCACCTCTTCTCAAGAAACGTCTTGGCGTTGGTCATGTTCTTGCCGATAGCTGAGGCCTTCCAGGCGAAGTACGAGCCCGAGGGTCCACCTGGTACAGGTGCGGGCCCTGCGAGTCGTACCCCGCCATCAGCAGCGACACGCCGAACGGCCTCACCCCCCTGTGGTGATGCATGGTGCACGATGTGTGGAGAACATGTGCATGTGAGGAAAGAAGGAGCATGGAAATTCTGGGTTGCAAGTGGCCGAGGGGTAACTTGGTAGAGGTGCGGGCTCTGGCAGTCGTACCCCGCGATCAGCAACAACCTGAACGGCCTCGCCCCCCTGCAGTGATGCATGGTGCACTCCCATGCCAGCCATGCAAGACATGGTGCAAGTAGACAGCAGACATGATATGCAGTAAGACAACGCAGGCCCATTTATCCATCCTTCGATCCTCCCCTCGTGCTCCGATCACTCTCACAAGACCACGTGAACTGCTGCCTCAGCTGCAGTGTGTGTTGTCTCACCCTGATTGCGTGAACTCTTGCATCACAGCAGCTGTCTCCCGCACCAGCTGCGACACTGGGATGACCTCCTGCCATGGTATGGTACAGGTGCAAGGCGTGGCATGGGTATGGTACAGGTGCAAGGCGTGGCATGGTATGGTACAGGTGCAAGGCGTGGCATGGTATGGTAACAGGTGCAAGGCGTGGTGCAACAAGGGCATGAGAGGGAAACGAGGATGGGCAAGGGGACGGGCAAGGGGACGGGCAAGGGGACGGGCAAGGGGATGGGCAAGGGGATGGGCAAGGGGATGCGGCAAGGGGATGGGCTGAGCTAGGAGGGACCAAGAGTCAGCATTGGAAGAGCAGCGATAAAGAAAAAGTAGTAAGGTGCAACGCAACAGAGACAAAGAAGCACCTACATAACTACAGCGGGTCTCGCCCTGTACGAGCTATAGCATGCCTCACCCTGTACACAGTGTAGTAGGACTGTGCTGACTTGCGGCTCTTCCTGACAAGCACTCGAGAGTCCGGGCCAATGCCACTGGTGGGGATGAAACAACAGGGAGGGGCGGCGAGAGGACAGCGGGGGGTGGGGATAAGGCGATAAGAGGGCAAAAGCATGAGAGACGAGCATGCGGTGGATTGGACGGAGCAACGGAAAGGGGTCACGGATGATGGACGGTTGTGATGCGATACAGGTAGTGCGGGTTCGACCAGAGAGGGTAAGCACGCATGGCAGTGGGGTGAGCACGCATGGCAGTGGGGTGAGCACGCATGGCAGTGGGGTGAGTAATGTCGGAGGTGCAGCCACACCTGTAGACGACTCCTGTGTTCTCCGTCAGCAATTGAATCTTCTTCACCTGCAACAAGCAAACGCAGAAACGAAATTTCAGAAAGAAAATGAGAGAAAAGAAGCAACTGACCCAAGTTCCACCATACCATGGAGCAACAAATTTGCAAATCCTCGTCGACCAGATCTGTGGGAAAATTTCCATCACCAACCTGTAACAGTCTATTAGTGTACGGACCAGAAGCAGATGCACCGAGGTCTCGTCAATCACCTCGGTGGGATGCTTCTTCTCCGTGGCGAACCAACTAACCGAGGTGAGCATATGAACCAACGGTGAGGATCTGCCCGCAGCACGCGACTCACCGAGGTCTCGTCAATCAGCTCTGTGGGAAGCTTCTTCTCCGTGGCGATCACCACGCCGTTGGTCGCTGCGACGGATGGGATGTGACACACGACACGAGGGAAAGGGGGAGGGGCGGGATTGAGGGGAAGGGGGACGGGGCGGGATTGAGGGGAAGCGGGACGGGCGGGATTGAGGGGAAGGGGGACGGGCGGGATTGAGGGGAAGCGGGACGGGGCGGGATTGAGGGAAGGGGGACGGGGCGGGATTGAGGGGAAAAAGGGGGGGGGGGGGGGGGACGGGGGAGGGGAAGCGATAGGCGTGGCTATCACCACGCAGTTGGCCGCTGCGACGGATGGGATGCAGCACCAAGAGGAGAAAGGGGAATCATGGATGGAGGTGGAGGGGGGGAAGATCACGGATGGAGGTGGAGGGGGGAAGATCACGGATGGAGGTGGAGGGGGAAGATCATGGGAAGTCTTAGGGAGGACGCATGCGAGGAGTACGAACGGTGCATCCGAGAGGCAGAAGCTTGTAGCGATTCCAAGGGGAGTCGCACCGGCCGCTACAGCATTCAGTTCGGCATATTCGATCGGGACCGGCTTCCTTAGTTGGTTCGAACGGTGCATTCGACATGCAGAAGCACGTAGCGAGTACGGCAGTGTTGGCAGGTCACGTGGTGGGACCTACCTTTGATTCCGAGCGACGTCGCACCGGCAGCTACGGCGTTCAGGGCATATTCGATCTGCACCAGCTTGCCTGATGGACTGCGGAGGAATGAGAGTCAGGGTAGGGCAGGGCAGGGCAGGGCAGGGCAGGGCAGGGCAGGGCAGGGCAGGGCAGGGCAAGGCAGGGCAGGGCAGGGAGAGACGACGCGTCGGTAAAACCGAGAAGGGTTGAAAGGAGGTGCCGAACGAATTGCACCATGAGCAATACGGAAGAAGGACAAAGAAATCACAATTAAGTGAATCTATATCACGGAAGTGGGACGAAGGGATTACAATCGATAAAATCTATCGTAAAGAACCATGACGTGAACTAGAGGACGGCACCTGAAGGTGGTGAGGGAGAAGGAGTATTGACTATCGCCCATGACGCCGACCGATCTGAGACTGCTTGATCCGACTTAGATGCGCTTGGAATCGACGCGAATGCTGTGCGAAAGATCCGACACGAGGAACCGGAGGTGGCTGAAATGGCTGTTTCTGGAGACGCGACTACGTGAAAGCTAAGAGAACACGGAAGCACTGCGAATCCCTGAGCCAATCTGTGAGTCTTACGAATGACGCCGGCAGCGGAATCTGAAGAGCTCCACTGCAAGCCAGGTGCTGGAGATTCGTACTGCCCGAAATGGCTGTCAGGCGGAATTGACTCTCAGTTGCTCGACGCAGGCCGGGTAGAATTGGTTGGAAGTGATCGGATTCGAGAAATCGGAAATTGAAAGTGTTACATTCTTTCGCGCATTTTTCTACACTGAAGTCAGCATTTCGACATTTTATCGTCAAAACGGCTCTGCAATAACGGAGTTTAGGCGCCAAATCCTTGCTTCCGCCCTCTGCTCTCCCACAGCCAGTTCAGTTTCGTTTTCTTCCCTTCCTCCAGCCGCCAACGCTGGACTTCAGCGTAACCCTCGCATATCAGTGCAGAGGATAAACTAAACTTTCCCGAGAGGCGGCATGAAGTGGGCGAATCTCGAGCTGATGATCTCCGCGATTCGGGCGTTCGTCCCCGAGCTCGCGTCGGGGAAGCATAAAGGCCAAGCAGGTGCGGCATCGCAATTACCTCGCGGATTTCGTCAATCCCTCGTTCCCATGTCTTTATCGCGGATTCTCCGTTGGAACCTCCGCTCTCTAGACTCAGTAGCATCCGCTTGTCCCGCTCGATATTGTCAAGTGGTCGAACCGAACCACAAGCGTCTTTCCTTGCTGGTCCGAAACCTCGCGCGTTTCGTCCCCCTCGTTACAGGGAAGATCGCTGTGATTGGAGGATGCCGCGAGTACACCGGGGCTCCCTTCTTCGCCGCATTTTCCGCGCTCAAACTGGTACGCGAGTCTCTGACGGGGGAGCCAAGTGCAGCGCCTCTCAGCGCCTCTCAGCACCTCTCAGCGCCTCTCAGCACCTCTCAGCGCCCCTCACGCCGTTGCTCTCCCCAATGCTCATCTTTCTGTTGAACAGAAAGGTGTTGCTCCACCGTAGGTGACTTTTGAGTCGACAGAAAGGAGTTGCTCCACCGTTTCCCCGCGTCCAACTTTTGCTCCCATCGTCCCTATTGCCTCCTCCATTTCGTTATAATCACGCAGGGTGCAGACATTGCGCACGTGTTCTGCTCGCGAGAGGCCGCTCCAGTCATCAAGGCGTACAGCCCGGAGCTCATAGTGCACCCGGCGCTACGGGAATCATATGACGTTAAGTAGGTCTAATTATTTCTTCTCTGCCATGTAATTCTACCTGCATTTAGTGACTTGTGAGGTGCAGCAGTGCAGTGCAGTGCAGTGCAGCCCATCATGAAGGCTTTCATGCATCCATCCTGGCCTCTTTGCCTGGTTTCTCTCACATTTGCAGGCTTGACACGCCGGATCAGCGAAAAGAAATTGTCGAAGCAGCAGTGAAGACGGTCTCTGATTGGCTGTCGCGGATGGACTGCGTTGTCATAGGGCCGGGCCTGGGCAGGGACTCGCTGCTGCAGGAGTGTGTGGCTGACATCATGACTGCCGCCCGGCAAGCAAGCATTCCAATGGTCATCGATGCGGTATGTGTATGGGGGTTCACATGCGAACAACTTTTGTACACATACATACATCTGGTGATCACATACCTTGTCAACACCACCACCTGTATCTTGCAACCTCTCCCTTGCCATGTCCTTGCAGGATGGTCTGCACCTGGTGTCCAACCAGCCGCACCTCATCACCAGCTACCCCCTCGCCATACTCACACCCAACGTGAACGAGTTCTCTCGCCTCTCGCAAGTCGTCGCATCGCAACGCGATTCCACGGCAGCAGCAGCTGCTTCCGGCGGGTCGTCTAACCCCGCCAGTTCACTCGCCGAGCTCGCAACCGAGTGGGTACTTCTATGCGTACAGTACAATCGACTGCAGTGCCCCGGCTGGTTCACTGCAATATTCCCTTTCTGTCTGAAAATATGTCGTTCCGTCTTCTCTGCCCGTGCAGTCTTGGAAATGTCACCATAGTGGAAAAGGGCGCAGCCGATGGCATTTCAGATGGAAAGACAGGTAACAATGCTCTTCATGCATTGCCTTCAAGCGTTGCCTTCAAGCGTTGCCTTCAAGCATTGCCTTCAAGCATTGCCTTCAAGCATTGCTTCAAGCATTGCCTTCATGCATTGCCTTCAAGCATTGCCTTCAAGCATTGCCTTCAAGCATTGCCTTCAAGCATTGCCTTCAAGCATTGCCTTCAAGCATTGCCTTCAAGCATTGCCTTCAAGCATTGCCTTCAAGCATTGCCTTCAAGCATTGCCTTCAAGCATTGCCTTCAAGCATTGCCTTCAAGCATTGCCTTCAAGCATTGCCTTCATGCATTGCCTTCAAGCATTGCCTTCATGCATTGCCTTCATGCATTGCCTTCATGCATTGCCTTCACGCATTGCCTTCAAGCATTGCCTTCATGCATGCTCTTGCTCACATCTTTCACATTCTGTGGTTTCCCTTCCCTGTCCCATCACTATCAGTGCTTGAATGCGGCCTGTTTGGCTCTCCCAGGCGATGCGGAGGGCAAGGGGACGTGCTGTCAGGCAGGTGAGAGGCTCATTACATTACGATCTTTCTTTGTGCCTTTCCCATCATGTCCTTCCTTCGGATGCATATACCAGCACACACCATGTTGCTGCCCTGTGCATAGCATGCTTACTTGACACTGGATGCGTTTCCCACCTTTTCAGCATTGCAGTGTTCTTCGTCTGGGCCCGCAAGTGGCAGCAGCGCCTACAGGCTCAGCAACAAGAGGGTGTTTCCTCTGATGCTGAGATGCAGCATCTGGTGGCAGAGCAGCTCTCAGACAATCCAGCAATCATGGCAGCGTTTGCAGGGTCGTTGGTGGTGAGGAGAGCAGCGTCGGCTGCCTTTGCCAAGAACAAGCGCAGCATGACCACCACAAACATCATCGAATGCCTAGGTGACTGGTAAGCACATGTATTCTCCAGCAATGCTCCGTGATTATATTTCCCTACGGTCTCCGTGATGATATTCCCCTGCAGAGTCTGATCATTTCTGTGGATTGCCTGTTCCCCTGCCATTTCTCCCACCAGTGTTGAGGATCTCTTCCCTGTAGGTCCATGGGAATCACAACCCAAGTTGTAATGGATCAGTGGGTGTACAGTGCGTTGTCTTCTGCTTGATGTTGTGAAACCAAAATGTACAAGTAATGTAATAAACGAGGCTACAGTATCAGAAAGTGGTTATGATCTACTAGCAACACCCTCGACAATGGGGACCCCAAAGAGTCATAATCAAGTGTTGGGTTGGGATGGAGTATGCCAACGACTAAGGACAGGCAGCTTCCTAGAAGCGCCTTGCCCGCAACAAGCCTTCTAGGAGGCGTTCTCCTCCTCCTGTCCTGCCTTGCGCCCCAGCACATCACGGAGGAACGGCCAGCGGAACTGGGCCTTGGAGCGAGTGAGCAGGGGCACTCCAAACTCCATATTGGGGCTCTGCAGCACACGATGGATTGGCACATCACCATACCAATACAAAGAAAAGGAGTTAGACAAGATAAGGCAACGGGGCTAGGCGCCTGTGGGGATGGAGAAAATCCCAGACAAACTTACCATTGTGCAGATGCCAATGTCAGTGCGGCAGACGGGATACTGCTGAGGGCAGCAGTGGTGATGGTCGTCACAGCAGGTGGCGTGCTCCATGGGGCAGCATCCCCACGACAGGCACACCTTCCCAAGAGGCAGTCCGCAGCAGCAGGTGGTGCCATGAGGGCACTCGTGCTTGCGGTCACACACCTCAGGCGAGGGAGGAGGTGTGGGAGGAGGATGAGGACCGGGAGGAGGGTTGGGTCCCTTCTTGATGGGATAGGACGCCTGCAGGACACAAGCCACACAGAAGATGAGCGTAGGGTCCAGAAATCTCGTACAGAATACAGGCGTATTAGTCCATTGTGCAATCCAAACTAGCAGGCGAAGACTGAATCTGTACCTGCATGGCGATACCGCACTGGCCCTCCTCAGCAGCGACATTCCTGACCAGCCTGATGAAGCCGTGGTCACCCCAGCGAGGACCCCAGGAGTTCTTCACAATCCAGTAGTCCGTTCCGTTCTCTGTGCCGTATCCGACGGCCAGGACGCCATGGTCCAGATCTGTGCCGCACTCACCATCGAAAATACCCTGCATGTGCCAGAAAACGACAATTGAGCTCTGGTGGGGAACGGGAAATGCTACACGAGAGAGTAGGATACCAATCATACACCACTTACACCCGAATAGAACTGGAATTCACGGCGATCCGCCTCGATCGCGACGGAAACGGGCTGCACAGCAAGAGCCTTCTTGAGGCCGGCCTCGCTGTTGGACGGAACGTCTTCGTAGTCGTCGATCGTGACAACGTGGGTGTTCATCTGTACGTCAAACAATAGATCCATGTCACTTCATATGTTAATTCATGGTACCTTGTTGTGATACGAGCCGTAGAGGTATTTCTTTCATTAAGGACACTCACCTTCTCCCTGTTGCACTTGTGCGCGGTTGCGTCGTACGGATAATCCTCTTCCGTGTCAAGGCCGCCGTTCTTAATGATGAACTCGAACGCGAAGTCCATGAGTCCACCACCGCATCCCTGATCCTTCTTCGTGTCGCAGTCAACCAGCTCCTGCTCCGACAGCGAGATCAACTCGCCAGTCACAATCTTGTTAATGCCTTCAACGGCTCCAGTGGTTGAGAAAGCCCAGCAACTCCCTGCAAAATACAAGATTCCGCTAATTAGCACGTGATGTAAAGAGAAATTTCGCAAGAGATCGAAGAAAAACGAGAGAGGCATCATGGCAAGAGGATTAGAGACGTTACCGCATTGGCCCTGATTCTTCACTTCAGTCACCGCTCCCTCCTTTCGCCAGTCGACTTCCTCCGGCGCCTTGACGTCAGCGTGCATGAAGCTTCCGCGAAGAGGTCTGTCGCTGCGAGAATCCATGTCCTTACGGAAGCCCAGGCGCGTCGACTTGAACTCCTCGTGTGACAGATGAGCGAACTCATTGAGAGCAAGTGTAAACTTCTTGCCCTGCGAGTTCAGGTTGTGCACGAAGTGCAAGTTATCGACGAACGTGCGAAAGCGAGACTCCTTCTCAGCAACACCGAAAACCTTGCCATGCTTCACGGACCATCGCTCGAACAGGGCCTGCAGAGAGACTTCGTTGGCCAAGTCCGTAGGAGCGTAACCCAGATCTGCGTGAGCCGTGCTGGCCAGACAGCACCAAACAACCAGAGTCACGACCAGGATAGCAGAGGCCATTGCGGAAGCCAGGACAATCTGTGATCAAGCCCAAGAGACTACCGAGATCAAACTGAGGATGACTGTAATCCAACGGAATATCCCTTCTTGTAAGTCTCTGTGTTACCCCTCCTTCAGCCACCTGCCACCCTACCAGACTCCCTCCCTCCCCCCAAACCTCTGGTTGTATTATTTTTTCCTCCCTAGCCAGCTGGTTTCCTCTCCCGAAACATGAGGGGTCACAACAGCACAACCTTGGGGATTGGTTTGGTTGCGACCTTGGAATTCGGGGGTTGACGAACCTGCGCGATTCTCACGAAATGTCGGTTCCCTAGGCTAACGAAATACGCGAGCGCGCGAAATTGTCGCTGCAGTTGTTGGCCAAGCCAGGTACAGACAGGGGGGAGCAGATGTGGCTACGGCTGACGCAGCACCCGGTGGATAACACCAAAAGCAGCTCAACCGTGGTCTCCACTGACAACTTTTTGCAGAGTTTTTCCTTGTGATTGGACGATAATGCTGGCAAATGCCAAGATATTGCCACGTGACAGAACTGTTGAGATGACGCCGTAGATTGAATCCCTCCAATTGGAAGAAGTGACACCCACAAGGGCAAGCCTCTGCCCCAGGCACTGAACTTGATGTGACCCTTGGATTCATACAGGGTCAGGTTGGAAAGAGGCTAGATCTGAACTGCAAAGACTTGTCAGCAAAAGCAGGTAATGTCAGATATGAAGCTAAAAACCACAGGTAAATCCTCCTTTCCCTATATAAACCCAACTTCACCGATTACAAAACCCCTGGCCTCACCCACAGAAGAGTCACCACCAGCCCTTCTGTCCTCTGACAGCCAGTAACACTTACTCCCACGACAAGTTCGCAAATCCTCAGCTTCGCAGATTACCTGAATTCGCAGAGCCAGCATGGTACACCCCTCCGTTCCTGAGGTTTCAGCGCATGAACTCCGCGACGAAAGTTACAGAGAAATTCGTCACCCTCGCCAGGTCTGATGGAACCGTCACAGCGACAGTCGCCAACAGGGATTCGCAGAACTGGGCTGGTAGTCCCACCAACGGGTGTCTTGGGTTGTGGCATCAGCTTTTCTTGTCAGCAGGAGCAGAGAGAGAACCATTCATTTTCCAACGGCTAGGTTCCACGGATTAGGTTTGGTGATCCCTCATTGGCCGCCGCAGTCAGTTCGAATTCGTGCGATTCGGAACCCTCTTCGCAAACTGACGGAAAGCTGGTTTTGCGTGACAACCTTCAGATCGACGGTCCAAACTCACAGCCAACGTCTGCTCGTAAAAAAACTGGATTCCCGCTTTCGATAACGTACTTGTTTGGGACACGTCGGACTCGTTTTGGTTGTTAGCCGCGTTTTTTGGCGGTGGCAACACGTGAACCGAGACGATTCCATCTCTCCTGAACCACACATTCATGTGACACATTGGATATTATGACCAACGGCTGGGATTCTACATGGATCCAACCCTTCTAAAACTTGAGTGTTTTTAGACCGTCGGATCCTATTCGTGAGGACCCATGTGCATTGCGAGGGGAGAGCGAGTCTCATCCGAGACCCCCTCGCCTCATTCTGGTCGATTTCTCAGCCGTTTTTGGCCCAGTTTCTCTATAACTGGGCTCGTTCTGCTCGTCTTCAACCCAGTTTCTCTCCGACTGAGCTCATTCTCCTACTTTCTGCCAGCAAAGCTCTTCAATTTTTGTTTCGTTCGTCTGCGCTCCGCTCTGGACCTAGATCGCCGCAAAATCTGCTTCAATGTCATCGCCGATTTGCATCAAGACCACCGCTAGTCTTCTGTCAAATCCACCAAGCGGCACTTCACTCGTCTGCAATCTACAGTTCAGCGAGTTTCGGTAAGTTCGTCATTAATTTTCTCAACTTGTCATTCGTGGATTTTCAACCCACCTTCTGCTGACTAGCTTTTGTTTCCTCGCCAATGTGCAGGTTTTCTTGACTATTTCACCGTTCGGAGTCATTTCACCTGCGATTTTTGACTTGCCTCGACTATTTTCACATCGCCGTCAAGATTCAATTACATCCGTTCCACAGCAGTTCCGGTGGGTTTTATTCGTTCCTCCCTTCTTTTTCTTTTGCTGTCGATTTTCGTCTCGTTTCTGTCCACTAAACTGTTTCTTTGCTCTGTGCAGGTTCTACTTCATCAGCTGGTCCTCAGCGTCATCAATTTTCAACTCAGCGTCATCAACTTTCAACTCAGCGTCATCAACTGTCAACTCGACGTCATCCACTTTCGAGGTTCGTGTGGGGAAAGTTACGAGGGGGGGCGAGCAGGAATAGAGAGTCTTAGCGCCGTGCGGCGTCTAGATCGAGTCTCTCGTTTCTGCACTTCGAGTCCACGTATTCCCTGACGCCAGTACTAACTACTGCCCTTTGTTTGCCTGCGTTTGCTGTTGTCTGTCTGTTCCATGGCCCACAAGCCATGAGTCCAACACAGTCTGGCAGGTTTACACTGTAGCAGCGGAAGCTGCAGTGGGGACGTCTGCGGTGATGACAGGCGGTGGTGGGCGAAACGACCATGACAGTAACAGTGATGGCGGCAAGGGCGGCAGCAAGCGACGGCTAGAGGAAGTTGCAAGGGACAGTGGCAGCAGTGGCCAGCGTCATCCCAGCAGAGCAGATCCGCGGCGTGAAGGTTTGTGTGGGGAAAGTTAAGAGGGGGGGCGAGTAAGCCTAGAGAGTCATAGCGCCGCACGGCGTAATCGAGTCTGTCAATTCGTACATCGAGTCCATTCGTTTCCTCCCGCTGTTACTAACAGCCACCCTTGTGCTTTCCTGTGTGCGTGTTGGTTGGCGCTGGCTCCATGGCCCACACGCCACGAGTCCAACACTGCCTGGCTGATCAACACGACAGCAGCG